CGCTCTGGATGCCGATCGCGGCTGCTCGGGCCGGGGGGTGGCTGCGGCTTCCCGGCGGGGGGCGCGGGGCAGGATGCCGGTGCTCGAGCGCTTCTTCCCCGCGGCAGAACCGGGCAGGCGGAGGAGGACGGGGGAAGAGCCGATGCCCTTTCCCATGGGCAGCTTGCCCGGTTATCAGCAAGGGACCCTGGCCTGGGACTTGCCCGAGATGATCAAGATGGTAAAGCTCGTTTGGAAATCCAAGGGCGAGCTTCGCGGGGCGAAGCACAGAGGGGTTCTGGAGAGCGAGGATGCCCTGGGCGGCTCGGCAGGTAGGTAGGCTTCCATCGGCGCGCCGCGCGGGGCCGGGGCTGCGGGGAGTCGGCCCGGCCCGGCCCGGCCCGTGGCGGAGCTGAGCCGCCGGAGAGGGGCGGGCTGGAGAGGCGCGGGCCGGGGAGCGCTGCCCGAAGGGCGTCCGGGTTTGAAAATGTGCTTTTGGCAGCTGTCGACTCTCCCCGCTCGAAAAGGCGCACACGTAGAGTTTGAGCCCGCTTGGGAGCCAGGTCCTCTCTCCTGCAATCTGTTGCCTGCTTTTACGAGCGGCGTGAGAAAAGCTCGGCGGCAAAACAGAGCGAGCGGCTCGGTGGCTTTGAGGCTGACCTCCGCCGGGCGGCCGGGCTCGGTGACGGCTCGGCTCAGCCTGTCGGCCCGCAGACTGTCGGAGAGTTCCGCGGGACGCCGGGCCGGCCCGGAGGTGCTGCAGCCGCCACGAGCCCGGGGTTTCCCCGCTGCTTTTGCTGCGACCGGCGGAGCGCGTGGCCTCGCCTCCCGCGCCGCCAAACTTCGCCCCGAACTTTGAGTGTGCGCGGCGCGTTCCACATGATCTACCCGTGCTTCCAGCGCGGCCATCTGCAGCGCGCCGTGACACCCTTATGACTTACGTGCCTTAAATCTTGCAGTAACCCTGCCCCGATCCGCTGCTGTCTTGGAGCGTGGTATGTTACCGGCTGAAGAGCACGTGCTCTTCTCTAACTCTGTAAATCTTGTATGTCAAATTTTTTCCTAACTCGGTTATGGGGTCGTATGGCACCATATCAAATGCATTATTGAAGTCCAGATTAGACTTCTTGCCTTTCTGTTACGTAGAAATCAGTTGCTATGTTAGCATGGCACTTACTTCCAATTAGCCAATCTCAGTTTTGCCTCATGCCCTGCTACGTCTTAGTTCAAAGCCTTCTACTGAAGTTGAACTCATCTGCCTACACTTGTCTCAATGCCCTGTGATGAGGCTTCTGATTCTCCTGTCACCGTATCACCTTGACGCAACAGACCACTGAAAGTCTGCAGCGTGTTTCTTCAGAACCCTGGGTTGTTATTTCTGCAGCCTGGTCACTGAACTCTTTGGTGCCTTCAGTCTTCAAAGATTATATGCTAACCTTTTCCTGCATCTTTCAGTGAGTCCTTTATCTTGCAGCATTTCCTACCAGAATAATTTAACTTCTCATGCAACGTGACCTTGCTGCTTTCAAAAGTGCTTGTGTGTATGTGTGTAACTGTACCTGAATAGCACACGTGTGTCTGTGCATCACTTTTGGATGCCCACCAGTGCGGCCCAGATGATCATTTTATGAGCATTATTTAGTGCATTTGCAGATCAACTAAGAAATGCATGTTTCCCTTCTATTTAGAAAAAGGGAAGATACGTTCTAAAAGACTCAAAGTCCAAGGAAACTGTACAACCGGCCAACCTACCATTTGAGAATCGCTTCAATTTAAAAGAATAGTAAGATTGTTGTGGATAAAGCAAGGGGAGGTCAAATGTTCAAATTGCTCTTTAAGACTTGGAGCAAATCAGCTGGGAATGTACCGTAGCCAACCGGAGTGGTTGAGGTTTGTGTGGTAAATGGTGAGGGTTCAGAGATGGACCCTAATCAAACAGAATTTGAGAAATGCTGCATTGGTTACACCTCATGTATGAGTAATAGTGGTTTTCCAGTATGCTTGTGTTAGATCTGGTGGAATTAATTTCATTAGGTAACAAATGAGATTCGCCTTCAGATTCCTGGAGGCAACTAAAAATGTGTATGAATGTACAAAGAGAGATTATTCCACTAGCAGGATATGAATAACTTGCATTTACTCAAGTGACTATTACTCGTATCCTGTGAAGGGACAGTTCTCTTCGTGGTGCCAGATCCCATTTCATAACCTCAGTTGACTTGCAGCAGCATACATCAGAGCAGATGATGACTGTAGCCCTCAACGTTTTAAATACGAATCATCAGAGAGTTTGAGTGAACCAGACCTGGGTTGCTGGTTTTTCCTCCTCAGCAACAGTCATGCTAGTAGTTTTACCTCTTGTGGTTTCAATTTAGTCACTTGAAGTACTCTGGAGTACATGGGAAAACCAGTACATGCTGAAATCCAGTGTGTTTAAGTAAGTGCAAAAGCAAAGAATGTAGAAATGGGGGAAAAGGAGAATCATTTGGAGGAATTGGTAGTGTGGGATGCTTGGTTTGATGTTCATGTTGTGGGTGTGAACGAAACACACATGTAACTTGCATCTTATAAAAAGGCACTACTTCAGTAGGAGATCAGGTTTTTTTTCAGGTGAAGCTAAAGCAAATAACTTCTGCCCAAGGTATTGCTGGTTAGGCAAATAAAGGTTGATTGTTCAGCAGTGGAGTTCAGAGCACTCTCCACATCAAGGGTTTTTTTATTTAAATTTGTAAGTGTTCATGTGATAACTCATGTTCAGTTATCACATGCTCATGAAACTATTTTGCTTACGGTAGAAGACGAGGAAATAGATATGGATTCTGGAAGGAAACTCTCAGGATTTCTGTCTTGCTTGATCATGTTATCAGAGAGTTTTCAATCTTAGCAAAGCAAATTCCCTTGTCCTAGCCTGAGTGATGGCACCCACCTTTGGGCTGGCTTTCTAGAAAGGAATAACCTTCTTAACTGTAGGTAGTGAAGGGGAAGGAGAGCTATATCTGGGTGTGATATCAGTTCTGTGGATGGTAATGTCCTGGTGACCCGTATAACTGTAAATCATACTGCATTCCTATTTCCTGAGGTGGCTTTTACAGAGCAAAGCTGTCTGTGTTCTGGGCTCTCGAATTAAAGAACTGTATCTGGATCCTTCCTCTTGTTCAAAACTTAGATTAAGACACTGAATCTCCCTGCAGAAAAGTGTTTACCGTACATGATGCAGCTTACAGTTGGAACCCAGATCTCATAGATACTGACTACCTTGGATTTCTCTCTCTCTCTCTTTTTTTTTTTTTTTTTTTTTTCCCAAAGCAGTAACATTCACATCTTGAGCCCTCTCTTACTGCTTTTTAAAGTTGATGTCAATTAAGACTGCAGACCTTTCTCCTGCTCCTGGCCTGCTGTTGCTTAGTAACTCTTTTATTTTCTTGTTTCAATCCCCAACCAAATCAGTACAAAACCTTGGTTTGGTGAGAACTCTCTTCAGCTCTGCCAAAAGCCATTTAACACATTCAGACTGGACATGCGATAGTAAGAAAGTGCAGTAATGGAACATAATTAGTTTGAAGAGCATTGGGTGGGAAATGGGTTATGATTCACTGTCGCTCTTTACAGTGTTTCAAAGATTAATTGCAAAGCTATCTGCTTGAATAAAGTGACAGCATGTGTTGATATTACTAGAATTGAATTATTGCAGTAATTCTGTATGGAAACCACGTTGATGCTTTGTAGGGAAGTGCGTTTTGCTTCTGGCCTTAACTTTATCACTTTCTCATACAGTTCAGCAGATTAAACAAACCGGATCAGGGAACAGGTACACATCTGCCTCCAAGACTCTTCCTTATGAGCATTTGCAACCTCTTAGATTTACAGCTATCATCCCAGATAGTTCCAGAGAGGCATTCTGTACTGTTCGAGTCTTGCACATGTGCAGGCAGCCAAGGCTTTCAGAGAAAGCACAGTGGTACTTAGAATTCTTGAGGTCCTCTGCGACACCGATATCTGTGGGTTTTTGAAATAGCTCTGAATGTATTTTTCCACCTATCTCAGTCTGTAGATATTTTCTCAGAAATGCAGGTTCTGATTCATGCGTGCATCACACTCATCCTTAACTGATGAGTCCCTTTGCCTTGAGGAGGAAAAACAAGCAGTACCAAACATCACTCCTATTACAGTTTGCTTCTGGAAAAATCTCCAATTATTGGTGTGTCCACTTACTTCCCCTCTTCAATCAACTGTCTCCTTTCCTACTTGAGAGTTTATTAAAACGTCTCGACATTGTCTGAGCTGTGCTGCACACCAGGCCTTGCTCCTTCAGACCTTACAGCTGTATACTGAGCAGTTCTGTGACAGACGTTGGAGAGGTCAGAGTTAAATCATCTGTGTGCGTCTTCAGTGATTGCTCAAAGCACTTCCCAAAAGTTATTCATAGGACCTCTTAGGACTCAGTTCTTCCATGATAACTGAGGAAATGCGCTTCCAACTCCTTTTTCTTTTGCAGTGAACAGCTCTTAATCATGCTCTGCTTGTTAAAATAAACTTCA